TTAGGGTTTAGGGTTTAGGGTTGAGGGTTTAGGGTTTAGGGGGTTTTGGGGTTTAGGGTTTAGGGTTTAGGGTTTTTTGAGGTTTAGGGTTTAGGGGTTTAGGGTTTAGGGTTTAGGGTTTTTTGAGGTTCAGGGTTTAGGGCCAAAGTTTAGGGGTTTAGGAGTTTGGCCCTGCCCGTTGCTCTGTGCAGGGTTTAGGGTTTGGGGTCCAGGCGAAAGCCTTGTATATGGGGGTTTCCGAAAATAGGGGACCCTAATATAGCACCCTGAATAATAGGATCCCTATAAGGACCCCAAAGTAAGGTACCCTAATTTTCTGAAACTCCCATATGTCAAAGCTTAGGAAACACTATAGGTGTTGTTACTCTCAAATCGAACTCCAAAGCCCTGCAGCCCCGCCACGACCCCCGCCCCAAATCCTAGACTCTAAACCCTTTACCCATCCCAAACCTCAAGCCCTAAAGCTAAACCTCTCATGCCTCAACATTGCGATTGTAAGGGGTTCCTCCGGGATCGCAGATGCTCTTGCAGTCGATAGGTCCTGCATCTCAAAGACATCCACTGAAACAGGTTTAGTGACTCTCAAGACAACCCTTTTCATAACCCTCAAACATCATATCCTTCCTGTAATTAGCCCCTGTAGAACCCAAAGATCCCCCTGTTCAAAAGTCACATTCAAAAACAAAAACAGAAGACCCCCCAACACCAAACAAACACCCAAAGCAACCCCCGATCCGGAAAACCAAACTCACCTCGCCCCCTCCCTTTAAAGGTTTAGGGTTTAGGGTTTAGGGTTTAGGAAAACAGAAAGGAGCTCCTTCCACTTTGGAACGGACGTCGACCGATTGAGCTTGAAGCCCTTGGCAAAAAAAGTGCAGGGTTTCGCTCGGCGCGTTGAGGGTTTAGAGGGGAAGTCGGGTTTCAGTAGGATTCTGTAGCCTAGGGCTTTGGTGTATTTGGGGTTCAGGGGCAAACCCTATGCCCTGACCTGGAAACCCTAAACCCTCAGCCGACCCTGGAAGCTTGGCGCGTCGGCCAAGCCATGCACCGTTTTGGCTTCGGCGCAACCCTAATATAGGGGCCTAAATAATTACCTATTAGTATCTTGGCGGTTGCTTATTATAACTATAGTAGAATATAGCCCCAAACCTTATTCTTACTATTAAGGCCCCTACATTAAACCCTAAACCCCGTGTTCAAGGGTGTCATGTTTGGGGCTTGGGGATTGCAGCCTTTAGGATCTGCATGCCCTCTCTGGGCGGTTTAGGTGTTTTTTTTCTAGGGTTTAGGGTTTAGGGTCTAGGGCTTAGGGTTTAGGGTTTAGGGTTTAGAGTCTTAAGGGTCTCAGCGTTTTTGGGTGCAGAGCTTGCCGTCACCATCATCCGCACTAATGTAGGGGCCTTAATCATTAGAATAGGGTTTTTGGGGTATATTCTGCTAGACTTATTTTTAAGGAACCCCCAATAATAGTAGAGGTAGGTGGTCAGGCCCCTATAATAGCCCCCTCACCACCGCAGCAATCCTGTCCCTCAAACCCCCTAAACCCTAAACCCTAAACCCTAAACCCTAAACCCTAAACCCTAAACCCTAAACCGCAAACCCAGCCCCTCGTTTTTTCGGGCCAAAAGGTTTAGGGTTTAGGGTTTAGGGTTAGGGCTTAGGGTTTAGGGTTTAGGGTCTGGAGGAAGAGGGCTTTGGGACTTTGTGCAAAACTCCAGAAACCAAGCCCAAGTCCCCACCTTGTGAAATCCAAATCCGACAACCCTCAACCGAGAGCCCTCAACCCTCAACCCGAAATCCGAAACCCTAAACCCTAAACCCTAAACCCTAAACCCTAAACCCGAAACCCTAAACCCTAAACCCTAATGTAAACCCTAAACCCGAAACCCAAAATGCCAAACCCAGAACCCTACGAAGGGTCTATGCGCAGATGAAGTGGCCACCGCCTAGCGCCCGAGCCGGAGAAACCAGGATATAGGCGATGGCCGAGCACAAGAGGGCGGACACCACCATGAGTGTCACATGGGTTCTGTTTCGTGTTTAGGGCCTGCAACCCTTGTCGTAGAAACTGTCGGGGTGCTCACATGCAGAAAAGCGTTCTGTTGCGCTGTCAAGCCGGATGTTCGGCTTCACCAAGGCAGTAGGTGGGGTTTGGGCTTGAGATTAAAAACTCACGGCTGACCTTGGTAAACTTTAGCAGAGGGTTGATTTATATAGGCCATGGGGACCATGAGTGTTAGGGGGTGGAGTTTCGAGAGGTTTGGGGTGGAGTTGCAGTAGGGGTGACGCAGCTTTGAGCACGAAGACATCGCCACGCGCTGAAAACTTTATGCCTTGCACCTATAGTACTATAAAACCAGAAACAATATGACATACGAGAAGATCTGATATTGCAGCCGTGCGTCCTATCTCACTTACACACATACACTGACATACACGAGCACAACTGTTCTAACCTGTGCACATAGACGAAGAAGCTAAGCGATAAACCGATATCTGCTATTGCACAGGCCCAGCACTTTTCGCACTCTCCTTTGCAAGAAGCTTGTGGGAATATGTAACTGAGGCGGCCCAACGTCTCGCAGCATTGGACTTGCAACGCTTGGCTCCCTCTAGGGTCCTGATAATGGTGATCTGCGTGTCCTCTAATGCCTGAAATGCCTGTGCTTCGTAAACCCGGATTCTTGAAACCCGTATCTAGAGCAGCTATATAAGAACCCTTGTTTGAAGCAGCAAAAAAAGCAGCTATTTAGGAACCTGAAGGGAGCCAAGCTTGGAACAACCCCAACATTGCCCTTTTGAAGGGAAATTGGCGGCCTTCTGTTCCAAGTATTAACCGTGGTGCTCGGCACTGAAGAATCATTCTGAACGGCTTAGGGTGTATTATACTTGAAGTAGACAAACTAACACAGGGGCCTCAAACATTTCAATAGGGCTTTTTTACGGGGTAGACTCTACTGTAATTGTAACAGGAACCCCATGGAAAAGTGTTGGCACTTGGTCAGGCTTCTCTACTAGCTTCCTGGATTTTGGATGACTTGGGTCCAAGATGGGATGTGACTTTGCCGACTCGAATCCCCTAGGCCCTAAACCCTCAACCGAAAACTCCCACTTGTGGAAATTCCGGCCATGAGGAAACAACCGGCATCGGCAGACACTCTACGGGCTTGATTATGGGCTGCAGCTTGATAATTTAGGGTTTATAAGTGGTATCTTCCCAAATCATTCAGAGACTCCCAGATCACTACAGGGTTTAATGCTTCGGGGTAGGATCTCCACCCTACACCCTAAACTCCCAGATCACTCTGTTTCACTGGCTTTCCCAACAACCACCTGGATGGGAGCCTGTCCGAAAAGGCCTGCGGCATCCTTCTGCTTCTTGAGCTTCGCCTCCGAAGCGCGGCGAGGCTTGCGGAATCGTTGTTTAAGGCCCGGGTTTAGGTTGTCTTTAATTAAAAGGCTTAGGGTTAAGGTTGTCTTTAATTAAAGACTTCGGGTTTAAGGTTTGTTTTTCAAGGGCTTTGGGTTTATGGTTCTTGTTGTGTTGCTGAGCTCCTTTTCCAGAGTTAGCACCGTGCAGGGGTTAGAATTGAGGGCGTTCAGCTCCTTCTTCTTCTTCTTCTTCTGCTTGGGTTTCGCTTCTGCACACCGAGGTGCAGGCACTCAAAACAGGAGGCACTTTGGGGAAAATATAGGGGCCTGAATAATTAGAATTGGGTTTGGGGGTATACTATACTTTAATCATAATAAAAAGGAACTCCCAAAATAGTATAGGTAATTCTTAAGGCCGCTCTATTACTTTTACGGCACAGGGTCGAGGATTTAGGGTTTGGGGTATAGGGTAGCCTGCGCACCGGACAACCAAGAGACCACAAATACTGAACCGAAAACCTGAACCCGAAAACGCTCATCCGACATGGTTTAGGGTTGAGGAGTTGAGGGTTTCGGGTTTCCCTAAACCCCCGTCCCTAAAACATTAAAGCCCTAAAACCCCTAAACCCTTTGGCCCTAAAGCCCGAAAGCCCTCAACCCCAACACGCTACGGACCGCAACCCCTCTTGGAGCCCTGAACATGCAACTCTTCATGCAGATACCCTACACCTAGAATCCCAAACCCCAAACCGGAACCCTGAACCCGAAACCCTAAACCCTAAACCCTAAACCTTAACCCCGATCCATGCCCCAATATAGCGGCCTTATTAATTAGAATAAGGCTTTGGGGCCCCCTATACTATAATTATAATAAGGAACCCCCAAAATAGTATCAGTAACTCTTTAGGCCCCTACATTACTTTGGCCTCGGAAGCCATCTTGTGCAGGTTCCTGCGCCCCGAGCCATCGTCCTCGGTCACTTGGGTGTCATAGAAAAGGGCTCGGGGTTGCTCTTTTCAGGGTTTGGGGTTTCAGGGTCAGGGCCTAGGGTCCTTTTCGGGGTCCCTTATAAAAAGGATCTATAGGGTTCCTTAGAAGGGTTTAGGGTTTCAGGGTTAGGG